CCTGTGTGCACACGCGTGTGACACGCAGGACGTATGTGCCGTTGTTGTGCAACGCGGAGGACAGGGGATAGCAGCGGTCGAGTCGTGGCTCCCGTGCCCACTTTGCCCTGTGAGGACAACTGCATTTGGGGGCGAATCTCCTGCGTTGCTGGGAGCAGCCCATTGCTCTCATCTCCTTGTAGCTGCCGCAGAGAAAGGCGTGAGCAGTGTCCTTCACTATCAGCCAGCCTGTCTGGGTGACACTTATTCTTGTATCTTATAGAACTATATATATATATATATATATATATGTACACACCCACATATGCAGCACACGTTTTTGTTTTCACTTGGTCCATATCAACCCTAATATATCTATCACAAGCCTCTCGGCTAGAAAATGAAGCCACCAGGCTCCCACCTCTCACTTGCAGGAAAGAAGCAAAAGGAAGAAGGAGGACAAATTCCCTGCAAAGCCCGAGCTTTACCAAGCGAGAGGAGTTGCTGGAGTCCTGCAGCATTGGTCCCTCCCTCGTTTCCATTTTCGGCCGCGCTGGATCCGCCCCGCGCATGAGAAGAGAAATGCAGCTGTCAGGCTCGCGAGCTCGCCGCCGCCTGCGCTCCCCAAGCCCCTGAAATGGGCACGAGGTCCCCACTTGCCCTCCTGGTGGCCCTGTGGGCCAGCCAGCTGGGCCTGATGGTGGCCGGGCGCTCCAAGGTGAACCCCAGGATCATCACGGCACCCCGAGGTAGGTTGCGGCGAGCGCGTGCAGCGCGAGCCGGGCGCCCGCGGTGCCTTTCCCCTCCCTGCCGCGGAGTTGGGCTCAGCGTATTCTCCTCTTGTGCCTTTGGGCACAGCTCTGGCCCTGCTTTAACCCACCGCACTCTCAGGAAGCCTTTTGAACCTCCTCAATTTTTCTTCTTTCATTTGGCTCCCTTACCTTGACAAGCCCTTTACCCCTGTGTTTCCTGGCAAGCCTTTCCCACAGGTCGGCGCTATCAAAGCCAAGGTGGCCTCCTTGCCCAATAACCGTTTCCTCTAGCTCAGGGGACGAGCAGTATTTGCACCAAACAGTGAATTTCCTTATTGCTCCGCTGCACTTCCCTGCCGCTGCAAACGCGGCGTGTTTCACGCGCTTGCCCGTGACCTCCGGGAGGGCTGCAAGGGCTCGTGCTCGCAGAGAGGAAGAAACAAAAGAGCCGCTTTTTACTGGGGTTTGCAGCGAGTGCCCGAAGCGCGCGGTGCGCAGGAGCATCCTGCTGCGAGCGGGTGCTCGGGGATTAATGCCCCGCGGGAGGATTTAGCAGCAGAGGCCGTCGCGGCCCCCAGGCTCCTGGTGTTCATCTGTGGGCAGAACTGGGAGCTCCCGAGGCCGGGAATTTGCAGGGGTTTATTGGGCGCCATCTGCTCTCGTCGTGCAGCAGCGCCCCATCGCTCGAGGCCACGGGGACGGGCGCACGGGGACCCGAGGTGCCCACGGGCTCCTGCCCCACGGAGCAGCGCTCGGCACAGGTTGCCCCCAGGCAATGGCCTCAAGGGCCCTTTCTCCCTGGCAAGGACCTGTCCGGCTTCCCGGCTGCCTGTGAGGCCGGGGGCTCCCGTGGTTGCTGCCCTTCCCCGCAGCCTCGGCGGGCGGCAGGTTCCCTCCCTGCTGTGGTTTTTGCAGTGGCAGCAAGTTTAGCCTGAGGAAAGGGTGTCCAGCGGGAACGCCATGTCCTTGGAGCAGCCCAGCCGGTGGAACAGGCGCGGAACAGCCTCTGCGTGCTGAGCAGGAGCGCCAGCATCCCAGCCTGTGGTGCCACATGGATGCTGCACCATGGCTGGGATGGAATCCCGCTGCTTCCCTAGCCCCCTCTTTCCCGGGAGCAGCTGGGCTTGGAGCTGCACTGTGGAGATGCTGCCAAGCCCTTCAGGGAAGGGAACACGGAGGCACTCGACCCCTGGCTGCCTCGTCCAGGCATGTTGGCTTCAGAAAGCGAGGCGGGAAATGGCGATTCCCGGAAAATGCCCATGCTGCCCACGGCAGCGCCCGGGCTTTGCCAACACGCCCGCGTCTGCTTGGCCTTGCAGCGCTCTGGGAGCAGCTCCCTGCGCTCGGCTGGCGAGGGAGAGGAGAGGCCGCGCTCACGCTGACGCGGGCAGTGCCCGAAGCGGCTCCTTGGATGGGGTTTCACACGGAGCTCTCCGGTGTTTGCTTTCCCAGCACTACTTCTTGCAGAGAGCCCGTTTTCCCGAGGTGGGAGTTGTGGGTGCCCTAAAACGCTGCTTCAAAATGGTTTTTTTTGCTGGGCACAGATTGAAAAAGCAAAACAAACCCCATGAACGCAGTGAGTGAATCACACCCCCCAAAAGCAGCAGGCACGGGAGGAGTAACAGGAGTTGGGGCTGCTGCACTGGAAAGGAGGCACGGCCCAAGGAGCTGGAGCCGGCTCCGTGGGCCAGCGTCGTGCTCAGAAAAGGAGGTGGAAAGGGTGTTAGGGAGGTGATGTTGTCCCTCTTGGCACCAGAAGGCGGGATGAATGAGTACAGGATGCTTTTTAGAGAAGTTTGTATCCAGAAAAAGGGCTCGGGAAGCAGGAAATTGCTTGTTGTGCTGGCAGCACCGTCCCACAGAGCTGTGTCCTTGCACGCGGCTATTCCTGGTTGCCCCAGGAATAGGACTCGATCCTCCTGTTCCCGCGCCTGTCTCAGCTCCAGCCGCCCCCCTGGCTCCCGCGAGGCCCCTGGCGGCAGCGGTGGCTCCTCGCCCACGTCCCCACTTTGCTCCCAGGCCGCCGTTGGGAAGTCAGCTCCCGGGGGTGGGATTTGGAACTGGGCTCGCAAGTATCTCCCTAAACCACCCCGTTACCCCTCTGCGGAGACCAGGAGGGCTCCACGTGCCATGTAAGGCGGTTACGGTGCTGGCAGCGAGAGGCGCCCGCGGGGACTTTTTCCCTCGTTGGGATGAATCGGCGCCTGGAAGCAGCCGCTCCGGCGGGGAGGGCGTGTGGAGCCGCGTGGAGCCTCCTTTTGTTGCCACTCTCCTTGCGGCTGCCGCATAAGGAAATGCCCTGAGCGCCGGGCGCAGCCTCCGGCTTCCCACAGGAGCCTTGCTAGGGAAAAAGGGCCCGGAACAGAACCTGGCTCTAAATTTAGCCCCTGCAAGGGCGCAGTCTAACGCTGGGCTCCGGGAACTCTGCCGGAGCAGCCAGCCGGGCCACGGGCGCTGCGCGGTCCCGTGCTCGCCTTTGTTCACTGCCCCGTCACCTGAAACCCTTCCCGCCGATGGCAGCTTTGGAACGCGGCTCGTCCCTCCCCATGGCACCTTCGGGCACTCATGCCCTTCTCTGCACACTAGGCGGGCAGGCACACGCAGGGGCTCTCGAATAGCCGGGCCCCAGCGTTATCCCCCCGTCCTGCCCCTGTGCAGGGCCCAGGAAGGGCGGGAGTGCTGGGAAGGGAGCGGGAAGCAGCTGGGGAGGAGCGCGAGAGGAGACGGCGCGAGGTCTCTTGGCAGCTTATTGAGTTCTGCTGCCCTCCAAACTGTCTCGGCGGGGGGAGGCGGAATGAGAAATGCGGAACAGATGAAACCTGTCACTCCGCCTTGCCGCGGAGCAGGAATAGAGGCGAGGAGCACGATGCCGGGGGCGGCCGGGCCCGGCACCCCCACGCCTGAAGGGCTTCGCGCCCTTGATGTGCGGGGCTACAAGCAGGGTCGTGCTTCCTGCTGCTTCCTCATCCCGGCTAGGAAATCCCTAGGGAATGAGCGATGCCAGCGCCGCAGCTCCTCATCCTCTGCAGGGCCCCTCTCTCATGCCCCTGGAGCCAGTGACACCATGCAAGGGCTCCTCCGTTTCTGCTCCTGCTCCTCAGGGTGGCTGGGCTCTGGCGCCGGGGACCCCGGGGCAATGGGGACCCCGGGGCAGCGGGGAGGGCAGCGAGAGGCGGCGCGGGGCTGCTCTGAGCACCGGGAAGTGGTTTCGGCAGCCTCTCCTGCTCCCGGTTTCCCCGAAACTCCTTGCACCGGGGTGTCACTTTCAGCGAGTCGCGCTGGCCAGTGGCCAAGGGAGCTCACGTGGCTGGTCAGCGCAGAGCCACCCTGCAGCTCCCTGCTCCTTCCAGCTTTACCTGAAAACCCTCCTCAGGGCCAAAGCCCCCAGGCGGAACAGGCTCATCCCGGCAGCAAAGCCCCCGGGGACGGAATGGTTTGGGAGGTGGCAGCTCGCTGCGCCCTCGCCGTCGCTCTGCCTTCCTCTTGGCCCCCTGGGCCGCTCCCCAGGGTGCTTTCACTGAGGGGAAGGAGAAGCCGATCTTGGTGCTCACGGCAGCCACCCATGGCCACGCTCACTCCGGCAGCAGCGTCTCCGCCTGGGAATTTATAGATGATCTAAAACTGCAGCCTGGCCGCCCGCCAGCCTCGCCAAGGAGCCAGCAGGGAAGATCGCAGCCCCTCGGGGAGCGGGGGCAGCCGCCACCTGCCCGCGGGGCTCCGTCGCTCACTGGGCTGCTGAGAGGCCTCGCGTTGCCCTTGGCCGCGCTCCAAGGGAGCCGCCGGGCCGGGGGAAACCCCTGGATTGGCCTCTGGTCTCGACGGAGCAGTGAAACGAGTGACGTTGCAGGGTGACATCAGGCCTGGGAGCCCCTGGGCCAGGTGACTAAGGCAGCAGGTTCCGGCCGGAGCCAGGAACACAGGGGCATTGGGAAACGGATGTCGCGGAGACGCCGCTCCCGGGAGCCGGGTGACGCGCGGGGCGGCGGGCGCGTCCTTGCCTCCGGCGTGCTGCCCATGGAGCCAACCCTGCTGCGCGCCCGCCTCCCACCACAGCCTCGTGCCCGCCAAGACTATCCCGGTCAGATTGCGGCAGAGACGTGTCATAATCTGTGCGTAATCCCGAAGGAAGGAAGGAAGGAAGGAAGAAAGAGATAAAGAGATAAAGGCTGGATGTTGGGGGAAGGATGAGCTCCCTGTGGAGCAGCCGGGAAGCACATGAGCTGGGTGTGCTTGCAATGCGGTGACTCAGGCAGGAATCCGCTCTGGAGGTGGCCGAGCAGGTGCTGGGGTCATCGGTGTCACGGGTGCACCACGGGGGCGGGCGGCAGCGCCGTGCAGCGAGCCGGGCTCCGAGCTGCCCGTGATCCCCGTGGGCCGGGTGCCTCATCCCGCTCGGAGAGCAGCGGAGGGCAGAGGCAACAAGGACTCACCCGGCGGAGCCGGCCCGCGGCTGGGTCACCCTCTGTGGTTGCTGGTTATGGGGTGACAACCCAGCGCCCACGCGGTCCCTTTGCAGCGCTGGGGACATCTGCTCTGGGGGCGGGAGGCCGGGAATGAACCTTTGCCCTGTGCCCCGGGCGCTGCCTCGTGGGCTTCACCAGCACACGGAGGGAACCAGGGAGCCCTTCCCGGGAGCAGGGCGCTTCCCTCCTCCTCCCGCGTTAATGTTATTATTCTTGCTCCCTCTGGCACGCTCTCCGTGCTGCCTACAGAGCACAGAGCTGCCCTTTCTGCCACTCGCGCCTGGGCCCGCGCGTTAGCATCTCAAGTGACAATCGTGCCATTGATTCGGGTGCCCACGCCGGGCTCGGCCCCAAATGCCAGACAGAGAAGGAACCCTCTGGAACGTGGCTGCTGCGGGAGAAGCAGGAGTTCGTGCTGGCCTGGCCAGGGAGCAGCGAGCGGAGCCTGAGGGGCGGCGGGAGGGCGAGCAGGGCTGCCCCGGCCTACTGTGCCCCAGGTGCCGCGTCCTGGCACGGCTGCCCAGCGCTCTCCGGCTGCATGGGAAGGCAGGACCACGAGGAGTGGGGCACCAGGGGGGTCCCCAGGGTGCCAGCCCCGGCCCTGCCCTCCCGCCCCCACCAGTGCGGAGGGAGGAGGGCAGGTCGTGAAAGAGGAAGGAAAGGAGGAGGACGTGGGGACGCCCACTCCTTCCTCCCCTCTGCGGTTGTTACACAGCGCCTGCTCTTGCAGCTCATTTCTCGCTGGCACCTGGGGAGGGAGGACGGGGGCTAAGTCCGTGGTGCGTGTGCGAATCAGGGCCAGGGGTTTCCCTCCTCTTCCTCCTCCTCCACGGGCAGCGCCTCCCCGCGCTCCCCTTGTGCTGAGTCTGCCCGAGCTGCTCCTGGCGCGTGCTTTCCCTGATGACTGTCCCATGTGTCCCCAGGTGCCAGGGAGTACATGTTTCCCACGAGGGAGAAGTACCCTGTGTTCTACCATAAAGAAAACAGCTCGGGCATCTTCATCGGGGGAGAGGGAAGGCTTTACTACCACAACTTTGCCACTCACGAGACGTACATGGTAAGGATGCTGTGCAAGCAAGTTTGGCCCCAGAGCCCCGTGTGGAACCATTCAGCCTCCATCTCACAGCCCAGATTCTAGATACCTTGTGCAGTCTCTTTGCAAAATCGGGACTGGAAGTGTCCAGTCAATGTGCTCAATGGATGCAGCAAAAGAGAAGTTCCCTACGCTAATTGGGAGGCCTCCATGGAGCACCTGGAAGCTGTTATGGTCTCTGCTGCCCCAGGGGAAGGATTTTTTAGGAGAAGAAATCTTTCTCTAGCGTGACAAGGGATGCTCAGTCATGTGTTTGGAAGAAGTTTTGTTCGAATCATCCTCCACCATCCCAGCTCAGGCTGCTTTTCCTTGACAGCACCACGTTCTGGGTCAGCTGGGCACTGAGTTAGTCCAGCCGGACTATCCCAGGGTTGGTTGGTTTTCTCATAACCACTTTGTGGTCCTCAAGCAAGTCATTTCCTGAAGTTTGTGCCCAGAAACTTCTCTTCTTGTTCCCAGGAGCCTCGTGGTTAATTTGTCCCAGTCCTCAGACAACCACCACCTACAGTCAATCGCCCACTCCCTGCAATGACAGATCCTCTCCCGAATCCTTCTGGAGAGCAGCCCAGGCTGCCTGCCAGTCGTGCCTGCCACTTTGGCCCTGTGTCCCCGCGTCTTCCCACTTCCCCAGCACCAGAGAGCTGCCAATCCAGCCTCCCCGAGGGTTTTCAAGAGCTGAGGTGGGGAAAAAGGCTGAGTTCCAGGGTTTGATGGCCCTCTCGCAGGCGTGCTTGATTCACTGCTTGCTGAAAGCAAGGAGTGTGGGGGACTGTATGGGACTGTGTTCCTGTAGTTGTTGGCTTTGAGGCGAAAGGAATAAAAGCATCTCTGTCTCTCTCCCCTTGCAGGAAGACTTCCCTGTGGCAAAAGAAGGACAGTGCATGAATTCTGGAGGTCTGGTAGGTCCCCTGGAGCTCCTCAGGAAACGCTGGGAGGTTGTTTCATGGCTGTGTGGACTCATGTGCTCTTCTAAGGAAGACACTGTGTCCTGTCTGCGGTGGAGCAGTGTGGGAGGGACAGCTGGAGGGGGACAGCTGCAAAAGGGCTGAGGGTGAAGGACCACTTGGGAAGGAACTGTGCCCGCTCCCCGCGTGCTCTCTGTGGGAAAATCCTCCAGGACTCGTGGAGCAGAAGGTCGGATGAGATAATGTCTGTGTTGGGGGTTTAAACATCCAAGAAAGGCTAGGAAGCCACACGGCTTGTGAGGCCAAACCAAGCTCCGCTTAGAGCAGCTGGGTCATGTTCCACCATTCACAACCATTCATGTTCTCTCCTCTTCTCTTGTAGGAAGACAATAAGAATTACCTCACGCTGCTGGGCGAGCACGGGGACGGGATGTTAGTGTGTGGGACCGGCGCCTGCTCTCCTACCTGCTGGCACTGGGTATGTGGAAAAACTCTGGCACGTGGCTGGCTGGCGGGGCTGGGGCTGGCTCATCCCGTTCTGCCTGGTGTCTTCTGCGCTGGGTGGGACACGTCTACGGGATGTAGCATAGCTTGGGAGCGGGCTCAAAGCCAAAGCAGAGCTCAGGAGTCCTTAATGCCCATTTAATGGCGTAAACCATGGAATGAGAGGACAGAATGCACATTTATGCTGGCTGCTCTGCCCTTCCTGAACGGCCTGGCAGATCACATGTCTTAGGAGCAATTTCTATCCTTGCCCAGGATCAGAAGAAGAAGAGCTCCCCGTGGGACGGGAGAGGTATCGCCCCTTTCAGCCCCGACGCAAATTCCCTCGTCGTTGTTGATGGTTAGTCCAAACGCTTCTTGCTTTGCCCCTTTTAACGAATTCCCTCCTAGGACAGAGGTTCTCTATTCCTGTCCTGGGGCAGAGTGTGTGTGCAGGAAACGAGAGTGCAGTGGTAATGGAGAAGAAGGACCAGGTCCTGCAGTAACTCCTCTGCTGAAAGGGCTGGGAACCTGGTAGAGGAAGGACATGGGGCTCCCTTTGGGGGCAGAGCAAGGATTTATCCCTGTCTGTGAGGCCTGCCAGGCCTGTTCAGTCCGACGCCTGGAATGCTGAATTTGGCGCTCTGTATTCACCAGCTGCAGGAGTTTTCTTGGCTGACCACGTGCCCAGGCTGGTCTTGGTCCTTCTCTTTCTTTTCACAAACCCCTCTGCTCCTGCCCCTTCTGGAAAGAGCCTGTTGCCAATGAGCTTTCCTGTCCGACAGGTAATGACATCTATTCCACCATCAAGAAGAGCCAACAGAATGGCAAGATACCCCGTTTCCGGCGAGTGAAAGGAGGAGGAGAGCTCTACACAAGCGACACGGTGATGCAGAGTGAGTGTGAGGTTGATCCTGAGGGAGCGGGAGCTGCTGCTTCGCTCCATCAGTCACATACATTGGCCTCCTTGTGAGCCCACAGCTGTGGACCATGCTGTGGACCCTGGAGAGGTGTGTCTCCTGTGCTGGGGTCAGCTCCAGAGCCTCCTGCCTGGGTTTGCTCCTCCTAGGATGGAGCTGCACAGAGGGCTGGTTCAGGCCCCGTCTGAAGGAGTGCTGGAGGAGTGCTGGCAAGGAGGGACCTGATGGCTCCTTTTAGCTCAGTTGCTTGGGGAAATTGAGCTCTGTTCCTAGGCCAAAACAGCTGACAAATGAGTTCCTCTTGCTTGGGGTGAGAATTGGGAAATGGAAAGAAGTGGACAACAAGTCCCATGTCAGCTGCTGGAAGGAAATATAGTTGTGTAAAGGTGCCGAGCAATGCCTGCTGTGTGGTGGTGGAAACGGGAAGAAGAGCTTCCACTCCGGGCAGACTGGTCTGGGAAAAACGACTTTCCAAATCCCCAGCCAGGGACTGTGAGGCAGGAAGAGATTGGGCTGTGCATGGGACAGAGGGGAAGAGAGGGAAAGGACCCCCTCATTTCCACAAGCCATTGCCTTGTTACTTCACCTTCTGCCAAGCCCAAAGACCTTCTGGCCAAAGACAAAAATCAAAATGACACCGTGGCAGGACAGGGCTTACACCTCTGGGGACATAGGAGCAGGGGGACCAAGGCAGCAGCAAACAAAGCTGATGGGCCCAGAGGCATGAGGCCAAACACTCAATTGGGCAGGACACCCTGCCGTGGAAACACCAACTAACGATGCTCAGAGGGACCCGGGTGTTTCGCCGCTGCTGGGGATGCCCGTTGTGGCCGTGGTGTTTAGTGGGAAAAGCATCACTGGGTTTTCCACGCCAAACAAACAACCCGGCCTGCTGTGCCCCTGAGGGGGCCTTTATATATAGTTCTAGATGCCCTATGTGAGAGAGGAGAGAGAGTTTCCTTCTCTGCTAAGCAACCAAGGCTTCACTGGGCTCAGGGGCCTTGGCCTTCAAGGAAATGGGGGGAGGAGGAGGAGGAGGAGGAGGAAGGGGAGCTTCACCATGGAGGTGGCACATACAGAGCAACCTTTTGTTGGCTGCACCCAGGGATCTGTGACAGGTCAGGCCTAGAGGCTGGGCTTGGCCGTGTCCTTTGCCTGGAGCGTGGATGGTCTGTGCTTGCCTTGTCGGAGAGTGACTGCAGCGTTGCAGAGGCCGATGGTTTGCTCCCGACCGGCGGCTTTAGGATGAGCGTCATTCCTGAAAATGTGCGTGTTCAGGCCAGGCCTTTCTGATGACTCTTGTCCCATTTCAGACCCCCAGTTTGTCAAAGCCACCACTTTAAGGCACGAAGAGCCTTATGAGGACAAGATTTACTACTTCTTTCGAGAAGACAATCCAGACAAGAGTCCTGAGGCACCCAGGAACATCTCCCGCGTGGCTCAGCTGTGCAAGGTAAGGGCCCTGTCCTGTCCCGTTGGTGCACATCTGTTGTAGTGACCACAGTCAAATGTATTCCTGGGACATCCTTCAGTCACCATCCAAAATGCTGAGCAAGGGGAGCACTTTGTGTTCCTCCCTGCCAGACCCCGACCCACTGCTTTCTCCCTCCCGCAGGAAGATAAAGGGGGAACCAGCTCGCTCTCCGCTTCCAAGTGGACCACCTTCCTGAAGGCCAGCTTAATTTGTGTGGACCCAGTCACCAAGGGCAACTTCAACTGGTTGCAAGATGCCTTCTTTGTCCCATCAAGTAACTGGAGGGATTCCAAAGTCTACGGGCTCTTCACAAACACATGGTGAGCGTCGTTGCAAAATGGAGGAGGTCCCGTCCCATGGGCCGTGTCTTTCTGTGCAGCTCTTTGTTCTCTCTGGTAGGCTAATGGATGGAAAACAGCCAAAACGGACGCTGTCAACAAAGGCGTGACACACAGAGCCATGCCCTGTCCCCAGAGATGGTGGCCAGCATCTCACTGACTCTCTCTTTGTCCTGTTGTCCTCAGGGGAAGCTCAGCTGTTTGTGTCTATTCCTTTGGGGACATTGACAATGTATTTCGAACGTCCAAACTCAAGGGCTACAACGGTCCCAACCCGGAGGTCAAGCCTGGGCAGGTGAGTGGGTGGTAACAGATGCCCCCGTTGTCTGGAGGGGCTCTTGCTCCCCTGCCCCTCAGGCCTCGTCTCCAGGGCTCTGCCTGCCTCTCACGGTGGTTTTGTTCCCCTCCTGGTGCAGTGCGTTTCCTCGGGGCTGCACACTCCGAGCGAGACCTTCAAGATAGCTGACAGCCACCCCGAGGTGGAAGAGCGCGTGGAGCCCCTCGGCCCCAGCAAGAGCCCCTTGTTCCACAACAAGCACCGCTACCAGAAGATCGGGGTGCATGAGGTCTCCGCGGCCGATGGGCGCCGCTACAATGTGCTCTATCTGGCAACAGGTACTGGGAAGTGCTGCTCCTGGGATCAGCCGCTGCTTCCCCTCAAGGGCAGGGGCTGCGAGGCAGCAATACCAGGGACGTGAGACCTCCCCGGTGCCGAGCAGAGCAAGGAACTGCATTTGCCCCAGCCTGGCGCCTGTTTATCAAGCAGAGGAGAGCTGCCAAGCTCCAGCGCATCTCGATGCAGCCAGTTTAGGGTGGTGTTGGCGAAGGCAGGTGGAAGGCAGAATCCCGGCACGTGGATTTTACCCTGTTGGGGTAATCCATGAGCAGGGTGCCCGTCCTCAGTGTGGAGCTGGAGAGGTGCTCAGGTGGGCGGTCTGGGCTCCCAGGCTATTTGGCTGCTTGCTGTGAAGCCTCCCAACACAGTGCTTCCCTCTCCTGCCCTGCTAGCACCCAGCATTTCTCCCTTCAGCTGTTGCCATCCCTTTTCTGCATGGTACTGGGGTTTGCTCATTCCAACAGAGCTGGCACTTTTGGAGAGAGTTCCTGGGCCTTTTTTTTTTTTTTTTTTCTCCTCCAATCTGTGATATAAAATTAGAGACAAGCTTCAGTAGGTGGCCTGGGTTGGATCAGGGCCCACCTGTGCTCAGATTTTTCTTATCTTGCAGAAAGCTTTAGCTAAATATAGATAATGCCTTTTAGATTCCCTTTGGGGAGCTGGCTCCGGGCTGCAGGGCTTGGCAGGGCAGCTTTCCACCTCCCTGCAGGGAGAGGAGAGGCAAAATGAGCAGTGGGGTTGGGAGTGGGGGGTCCTAATCCTAATCTGCCCATCCTGGGCTTCCTTGAGTCACAGTTTTGACCTCCTCCTGGTTGACAGTGGAGAGGGAAGCTGCTATTTGGGAAGGGGAGGCTGTGGAAGTAGTTGAGGAATATTAAACCATGAAGATTCCCTCAGATCAGTCTTGTCACCCCTCCTGACCAAAGTGACGTGTTTCCTTAAATCACCAGTTTCTGGAGTCATTTGACTGGGCAGGGGAGACAGTTTACTTAGAAGAAAGAAAGGCAAAAATCCAAGTTTGTGCCTGAGGCGAGCAGGGAGATGAGGCTCACGATCAAAGCAGAGCTCAGTTAGAGGGCTGTTGCTTTTCCTTGCCGAGGCCATTGCAGTGTAGCTGATGCAAGCAGGCACAGCTAGGCCCTGGAAGGTGACAGGGGAAGTGGGTTCTGTGCGGCTCTGCTGTGGGAAGCACTATTGTTTAGAAGGTTATTTCCCAGCAAAACAAGCCAGTGCCTTCCGAGAAAGGGCCTCTTTTCTTGCCACTGGCTCAGTCGTTCTCCGGGTGGCCACTCTTGGGAATGCCACAGGCGGCAGGGCTCTGCGGAGCGGGTATCACATGCTGCTGCGCGGGCTGAAACCCCCGAGCTGGTGTCTGCCTGGTTCCCCCAGCCCTGCACGGCTCATCAGAGTGCTCTGCTCCTTCTGTCCAGACAGGGGATCCATTCACAAGATTGTGGAGCTGCCGGACGGGGTGCAGAACATCATGGAGCTCCAGGTCTTCCCGAAGAAGGACCCAATCCAGTCCATGATCCTGGACCACCAGAGGGTAGGTGTCTGTCTGCAGCGCAGCAGAAAGGAAAGCGGCGCTCAGACCATCGCTGACATCCCGTAGCGCTGGGATTCGCTCCCTCTCCTCATCTTGGCCCTGAGCTGCCAGGCTGTGCCCGTTCTACACCCCAGCAGTGATGACATTGCTGGGATGGAGCTAACTTATAAACAGGGTGGTTGGGAAAGGACAGTTGCTGCCTGGTCTGTGATCTGGGACGTGTGTCTGCATTGCCTGGGGGCTCCTCTGGTGAAATCCACCGCAGTTTCACAAAGACTAAACCTCCGGGATGGTTTCTGCTGCCATCCTCGTGAGGCAGCACTGGGACATGGTGCAACAACGAGCCGCTCTGCTCTCCCCCGCAGGCGATGCTCTACGTGGGCTCAACGGATAAAGTCGTGGAGATCCCCATGGCCGCGTGCGGGGTGTATCGGAACAACTGCGAGAGCTGCCTGCTGGCGCGGGACCCATACTGCGGCTGGGCTGCCGGGCGCTGCCGGGCCGTGCATCGAGGCCGGTACGTGGCACCCCTTCTCTGCTTGCTCTGTCTGCAGCGTGTTTCACCCAGCTGCTTTAGCATCAGAAGTTTCCAGGCCCTCGGCATGTGCGCAGGCAGTAACAATGCGGACATCTATGTGCTGTCCCCATAACTTCAGCTGGGCAGGATCCCACCGCTGCCCTGAGCTGGGGAGAAGCAGGTGGGTTTCCTGCTGGCCTGAGCACCCTGCTCCTCTCTGCTGGTAGAAACATGCACAGAGCAGAGGTTCTGGCTTGTTAGGCCTGCCTTTATGGAGGAAAATTAAGCACTGCACCCTTGCAATTTGGCTATGATGCTATTTGCAGTGGTTGATTGTGGTGAGTTGTGGGGTCTTGCGCAAGGGACTATTTTTCCCTACCCAGGTTAGAGCATCTGTTTAAACATTGGGTTGACGTTTTGTCCCATCCAATCCATCATATCCTTTATGGGTAAATCCTTTCCTAGCCTGAAAGTGTTGCCAATTCTTGTCCCCACCTTTTAGGGAGGTGCATCAGAACCTAAACCTGGGCTCGTGGAAAGAAAAGTGCCAAGGGGACAAAGTTAAGGAAGGTAAGTAAGGGAACCGGAGCAGGGAGACTGTTTTCCAGGGGCTTGGATGGGTTGATCCCTCAGGGATGTGATGTATTTCTGGGGAGCTGGGGATCACCAGGAGTGTTCTGAGAGATGGAGACACTGGGCAACTCTCAGTTTGTAGCATAAAAAGCAGGAAACATCATTGCTAATGGAAAAAAAAAGAGCTTTAATTGAATATTAGTCAAGCTTTTGGTATGAAATAGCATAAGCTGGATGCCATGGTTTCTGGTAGCCACAGGCCTTGATGACTCTTAGCGTGAGGCCGAGGTGGTCAGGTGTGATCCTACATGAGCCACGCACTCTGCAGCGATGCCCTGTGAGCAGACGCTGCAGAGTATTTCACCTTCTCCCTAAATCAAGCAACCTGGGTGTGAGGCAAACAGAACCAGTTGTCTAACAGGTCTTTGTGTCCACGGGGCTGTCAGCACATCTGGTCACTCCTGTTTACCATCTGCTTTGGCCTCATTTCCCTTCTGTGGTGAGGCTAAGTCAGTGCTGTTGTGGTGTGCAGTCTTCTGAAGCGGGTGAGAGGGTCAGACTCTCTTTGTCACTGATGTCCGGGCAGAAGAGTCCTACAGGCTTCACCAGCTGCGGGCCAGGCCCGGCTGTTGTTGCTGATTGCCCTTGTAACGCATTGCCTTCAGCCCGACAGTTCTTCGTGGTTCCCGGGGCCCCTCACCTCATCCCACCCTGTTGTTTCTCCCAACAGACAACTACCAGAATATCACTGTTGTCCCCTTCTCTCGCTACTACCTCAACTGCCCCGTGGAGTCCCACTACGCCACCTACAACTGGTACCACGACGACTCCCTCATCAAGACCTGCAACAACAGCCACCCGCAGCAGGACTGCTTCCACTTCATCCAGAACGTGAGCCACGCGCACTACGGCCGCTACGTGTGCATCTCCGAGGAGGACGGCTTCAGGCAGGCGCTGGTGAAGGAGCGCCTCGTGGGCCAGCTCCGCTTCATGTCGCAGAGGGGCCGTGCCACCATGGCGCTGGGCTCCTGGTTGCGCCTGCTCCTGGTGCTGGTGCTGGTGGAGCTCTTGCACTGAGCGCGGCCGCATGGCGTCCTCGCCTTCCTGCCTGCTGCTGCTCTTCCTGGACTGCTTCCACTCTTGAGGCGAGATCCCCGTTTCTCTTAGCCACTCCCAGGACCTTGATCTTTGGCCGTCCCAGAAGGGCTCCTGCCTCTCTGTGCAGCATCCATCTCTGCTCCCGGTGGAAGAGAAGACTCTTGGGCACCGTGAGGAAGATGCAACTGCAAGGCTAGATGGAGCTGGGTTTGGGGACGGGGAGGGAAGGGGCGCCCCGGTGCCCAGGGGATGTCATCGCGATGCTGACGCGGTGGCTTTGGCCTCTTGGCCGGCACCTGCGGGCAGCTTCGTGCTGGATCCTTGTGAGTGCGCGCCGAGCGCTGCTCTTGTTCAGGGGACTGCGCGGATGTGCATGCGCTGATCCGCAGGGCTTGGCGCCTCTTCCCTTCGGGAACGTGCATGTGGTGAGGA